ACACACACACAAGATAACAAAGCCATCTGTCCACAAATTTAAACATAGAAACATTACAGCACATTCTTGCGTGCGTCCATGTTGCTAGCCAAAATTAAACAGCTAAACTTTGACGCATCACAGCAATTCCCTGCCACTTTCCTCTCAGGTTGGAATTTGTGTTGTGATGATAAATAAATGTCTCCTCTGTCCAAACCCATCTTTTCTCAGCAGTGGGGTTTTTTTTGTTTTTTTTTTGAGACTCCTCTGTGTAGCAAAGACTTGTCTTTTGACCTGTTTTCTCTACTGCTTTCTATTCATCATGTCTTTAAAATCTACTTCCCCTGTGCAATGCCAAACCAAATATCAAATGTCAACATCTGATTCTAGCAAACAGTCATAAGTGAGTTATTACTATGCACAAAAGCACTGTTGTATTCCTGAAAATCCAGGCATGGCGGGATGCCACAAGAGGATATACGTGTGAAATTTTAAAAAAATAAATAAATAAAATTCAACTTTATACAAGTCCACCACACTTTTGGAGCTCACAAAGATCAAAATTCGCAAAGCTTGATTTATATGAAGAATATTTTGTGCTCCTATCCATGTTCTAAATTTAAAACAAAAAGATCAAACACAGCTTGTTTGGCATCTTAGTTTCATGTTCCTGATGCTTTGTGCATCACACTACACACACCTCACATCATAGCCTGATCTATTTTATATATTTGGAAAATCTAAACACAATTTGAAATAATGGTCAACAAGATAAAGAAAACTGGCCTGTTCAGTGGAGGAGTCCACTGGTGATTCTTGGAGGTAGAGGAGATATTTCCATACAAATAGTGTGAGCTTGTTTTTGTATGCATACTTCTATCTTTGGATTTTAAATCATATCACTTTGGTTGATAAATTGTACTACAAAGCCTTTACATAAGCACATGCCTCACTGAAAAGGATATGTGCTCATATGGAACAGATTTGTTTTACTTCTTATTTTTTGCATGATATTACCCAGATTTATCTCTGGTTGTCACTCTAGTAGCAGAGTCTCAGATATGCAAGGTCGTTCCATAAACTTTACCGCAAGAGAATAGCACTGATTTACATTTTCAACACAGGGTAAGTCGAGCTCTCCTGTCGTATGCAAGCTCACCTTCTCTTGACAGTTACACACATTCATTTTGTCTTAGTCTTGCTTGCCTTTTTTTTTCCTCATGCTCTCCGGCTTTGGAAATTGTCAAATGACATGTGTCTGATGAAAACCCCAAAAGGCCAAAATATTGCATCATTGAATTTTCACAAGCTTACAATAGTCAGTGAGTAGACTTGGTCTTTTGTCTTTGCATATTATTAACTGTAACTGATTTATCACACTTTGGAACCAATTTTATGTAAGGTGCAAACATTGTTTTTCATAAAAGAGGGACTGGTGAGACTGCAAAATAAACAGGTGTTTTGGGGGGGAAGAAAATCCCAGCTGTGGTCTAATTTCACTTTAGAAATAGTAAGCAGAGGTAAATCCAAAGACAAGCTGTGAGAAATGGGCAAACGATCCTCACAGTGTTGCCGCTGTAACGTCTACACAGGCACATTAATACTTGCAGGTGGAACTGGAAGACCACCAGTAACATGGTAGCATGGAGAGTGATGAAACGCACTATTGAGTCTTACTTTGTGCTAAGCGCATCTAGTGCTCTACACACAGCTAAACAGGAATAGCAGCTACAAAAAAAAAAAACATTTTGACACGAGTGGTTAAAACTAGACTAAGATATAATTAATAAAAGAACAAGATGTTCCAAATTGTGCAGAATATGGTGTAGCCGGTGTTGGCAACACTAAGCTTGTAACAGTGTCAACAAACTTTAAGCACAAAGACTGCACAACAACAGCATGTGGCACAAGCAGGGAGTCGGTCTCTGCTCGAAAAACCTGCTGAAAAAAAGGTTGGCCTGACAAGTGAGATAGGCAAGCTATGGGTAAATTCATCACAGCACAACACTTAAGAGGAGGAGTCCGTTATTAAATTCAAATCAGAAATTCTACTGCAGAATAAATATAGACTACTGATGAAATGTACATAGTTGTGAAAGTAATACATGTGGTAATTTTAGCTAGGGGTCTGTTTCCTGCTTAGTCTTAACCATCTGTTAAAAAATAAAAGTGCCCTACACTTAGACTCAAAAAGGACTGACAAAAAATACTCATACACTCCTGCAGATATATCATTAAAACCTACTGAATGAATAAAGATGATGAGAAAGCGTTATGAAAAAGGGGAGTTTTTAAAGTGGCCTAAAGTAAGATGCCAATATTGCAAGTGTGACATTATTGAGCAGACTATTTTACAACAGCGGTTTCCTCACAAAAAGCGCTCTAGAAGCTACACTCACCGAGCACTTCATAACTTTACTATAACCAGCAGATAGATAAGGCCTTTCCTTACTCTCAAAACAAGCTCATTCCAAAGGTGTTGGAAACGTTGCTTTGGAATTTTTATCTTGTTGACATAACTGCGTCACATAATTCCTGCACATTTATCAGCATCACTATTCATGCCGCAAATCTAATGTTTGTGTATGATACGACTTTTGCTTTGTGTTTTGTTGCATTACCATGTTGGAAAGAGATGAATAAATGGTGGAAATGAGGGGATGCACATAATTACAAACAAAACTTAGACCAAGCTATGTCTTTGAAGTCTTCAGCTGTTCACTTTTTGGTGAGCCTGTGGCCATCGTATCCTCACATTACTGTTCTGCTGTTGCTGTATCCATCTAAAAGTTGGATGTGTTGTGCATTCTGTGATGCCTTTCTCCTCACCACAGTCATCTGAGTTAGTGTAGCCTTTTTGCAGATCACTGAATGTTTTTTTGCACTATTCTGAGTAAACTCAGACAGTATTGCTTAAAAATCCCAGGGAACCAGTTGTTTCAGGAAAACTCAAAACAGTTTGAGATCATATTTTGCCTATTCTGGTGTTTGATGTAAACAATGACTGACAAGGCCTGACTTGTATCTGCATGATTTAATGCAGTGCACTCGTGCCATGACTGGCTGAGTGGAAAACAACAGGAATAAGTAGGTATATAGGTGTTCCTAAGAAATTACACGGCAAGTATGAGCTGACTTTTGCACTATGCCCTACGTTTACCACTGCTGAACTTCTCATATACGATAAGTCTTCCTCTCTATATGTCATCAAACGTCTATTCATGATGGCAAAGTGACGGCAAACATTTCTAGGATAAAAATTACTTTCTTTTGCTTTACAGAGAAACAGAAGCAGTGCCATCAATGTGAAACTTCAATCTGAGGCCCTGATCTGCATCCACATACACATGCCATATACTTGTCATTGTGAAGTTTTGAAATGATGTTACAAAGCAGCTTTCTATTGGTGGAAGCATCATTACTGTCAAACACATCTCATGGAAAAGCACAGGCCTTATGAAAAGACAACTGACAAGGCAGCGTGGTTTTCTGTGTTTATACTACTTAAACAGGGTTTACCAACAAACTCAAGGTTCACTGACGTACAACATCGAGCAGGTTAGAGAGGGTGCGTGTGTGTGTGTGTGTACTAATGTTGAACACACACACGCACACACCAGCAGATAGCCGTGACCCAGGTTATTTATACATGATTTTGGTTTGACCCGGTGCACAGGATTTTCCCAGACTGTGATTCAATGTGGGAAAATTTTGCCTAATTTGACCAAACTACATATTCCAAAACCCTTCTGTAATGATGAAGAAAAACTGAATTTGTCGTCAGTGACTGAATCCACACTGGGTCATGTTTCAGTCACCTGTGCGTAGGTAGCTGCTGCGACGTTTTTCCTTTATCAATCATTGACCAACACAGAAAATGATCACGAGAGGTAGTTCCTTGATGTCACTTTAAAACCGCCCTAAGCTTTCTGTAATTTACAGGTTGCAGCAGAACATGCTCATTTTAATCCAGAGCACAAAGAAACCATCAACCCATATTTGCTAATAACAGTTTCATCTTATCACAATAAATGGCCGATTTAGACGATATGCAAAACAATTACAGCGTGTAATCTGGAAAAACACTTGAGCCAATTGAAAAGCACCATCAACATCACATAACTCGTGCAGCAATGTGATCTGTTAAACATGCGGTTCCTGAGTTAAGAAGCAGCACTTCACAGGTGAGACGGTGTAATGCTTGCCACACATTATTTTGCTGTTTGTGCAAAAGATACAACAGAATTAATGCATTTCTATCTCAGCCTCCAACATGAGAGACACCACTCCTCTCCATGAGATGTGTGAATCACAGATAACGAAATAACTCATCATCAAACGTCTGGTTATGTTGTAAGATGAGTAATGATGACCAGCGATGACAAAAAAAATGAAGAAGGTGTGTAGAGTGTCACCTGGATTGGTATCACAAGACAACATATAGGAAAAAAACTTTGAAGTCTTTCAAATGTGACAAAAGTTAAAAATGACACCTCTGAGGAGCCTGAACTCCTCAACAATTTGTTTTGTGTGATGAGCAAGTAATGCTGAAACATATTCACTTCAATATTTGTATTGTAGAAACTGACTTTAAGGTGTATTTGCTTTAAAATTACTTCTCAAGTAATCTACAAATCCTTCCAAGTTTATTTACAGATAGTTTTGGAGCTATTGGACACAAAAGACGTTCTTACACAGGACTAATGTTGATTTCTCTCTAGTTTACTGGTCAAGTAAACCTACCTTCAGAGCGTACTTATCACCAGTCTTCTTCTGGAAGATTTCAAACACTTTGCCATTGATGCCCAGCCCCAACACCTGGGTGGTCACCCTGTAGTCGTCTGTTATGGCGCTCTTCTTGATCTGTAAGGTGGGTTTTGGGTGGAAGGCGAGGACCTGGCCCGTGGGGTTCTGCTGCCCGGCCGGGTTGGGAAACAGTGGCTGGTTCTGTACGTTGGACAGCATGCTCATCGTCTGGGCTCAGAGATGAACAACAGGCACCTCTCAACAATACTGCTCCGCCGATTCCCTCTCGACACAAACGGGGTTATCCTGAGTTAGCTGGCCTCCCGACGGGCTCTTCACGGTGTAGCAGCCGGGCCCGAGGAGCAACTGGCGGTAGCTGAGGCGTTACGGGTTCACAAAGTCGCTCGGACGGCCGACGAAATGTTAAAACTAGCTAGCTGTTAGCATGCTAGCTCCGAGCCTGTGATCTGTGATTCTCGGCTAACAACTCAGCTAGCGGCTAGCCTACCCATCTCGGTGGGGTCCGCGGTCCACCGGTTCCTCAAAGAACGCTTCGGGAACTTTTCTAAAACATCCTTCGAGTCCGCTACGGCGCTGGGTTTGTTGAAGCGATATGGAAAGGCCTCGAGAGTGAAGTTAGAAACCGACAAAAACACGAAACGAAAGACAGACAACAGAGGAAAAACTCCGGTATGGCAGTAGCACACCAAACACACTTCACTTTCAACAGACACCCAGCCGGAGCAGGTTTTACTCCTGACGTCAGCCCGGAGCTTTTTGGCCGCTTAAAGGAGAAGTACGACAGTGGAGCTCCGCTTTACGTAACAAAACACAAGGCCTCTTTATACCATCTGGCAAGCACAAAGTAAACAACGTTTCTGTTTTATACACAGGGTACACCGGGGTAACATGCCCCCCCTAAGGGCATATAACATTCATAATCATATATATGGGGAAAAAATTGGTTTAAAGTTCACTTTATCAGATCAGAATCAGAAAGTTACACTTGCTCACATTTAAGTTTCAAAACATACAGAATCAACACAATTTAAAACAATATATCCTAAAAACAAAAATAAAAATCCAAACACAAGTAGAAAAGTCTTAAATGTAAAAATGTAAATTGTGCATGGAAAAATCTTTTTTTTTTTTTAATGTAAGGGATGTTTTTAACCCTTTTAAGACCTTTTGGGTTATATTACCATGGTAGTTCATTTTTATTTTTTTATTTTTTTTACATTTGTTAGTCTTGTTAGTATTATTGTTAGTATTTTATTATATGATGTATAGTAGTGCATATCAAACAAGAGCTCAGGTCTTAAGAGGTTAAATATTGTTTACTATGATACTGACTTTCTACTTTGTTGATATATGTATATTTATGGATTCATAGCTTGATTTTGAGTTTATATTTCCTCCTAAATCCAAAATTATTCAACCTAAACCTAAACTGGTTTTACTACTATGCATGTATCTGTTTTCATGATAAGTAAACCATCATAAATCATATGTAAGACATCCCTACAGAGGACATGTTTTGCCGCCTATTATCAAGAATCAGTTTCTATATCTCAGGAGTCATTTTGATCAGTACAAGCTTGTTACTTATGTATAACATCAATTTATTATCAATTTATTTTCTAAAAATGCGAATGCACTTCAACTGTGACACAAATGTTCCATAGCAGACAAACATGGGGAAAATATTATTAAGAAAGTGCTTTGAATATTGCAAACTAATTTAGAGTTAATGGACCTGAGACAAGCAAAAGCAGGAGAGATTCTAATTTTATATCACTAAATCACTGAATTTTTTTTTTAAGTCATATCAACAAGGATTTAAGCATACACTAGCAAATGTGAGAAAGTGCCTTCCTTCAAAAATCCTTTTCTCACATTTTCTCACATTAAGTTTGCATATCCTTATGAATATCACATCAACATACCTTGAAACCACCTTTGGTGATTTCCACCAATAGCATGACTTCTGTGTCATTTAAAAATCAGCAAGGTGGCTATCACTAGGGGAAAAAAAGAAAAGAAAACCTGAATTAAAACCTGGCTATATCTTAGGGGAAATATGGGCGAGAGGCTGTCTTACCCTGTTTACCCTGATGTATTGGTGCTTATTTAATCTATTCAGTTCAGTTTAGTGTCATTTCCATAGCACCATCTCAGGGCTCTTCACATAGTAAGGAAAACATGACAGTCAACAGTGTTTAACAGGAAGACACCTCCAGTAGAACCAGGCTCAGGGACAGTGGCCATCTACCTCTGCAAAGAAGGCTGACAGAAACAAATAAACAATGCATAAGAGAACAACGCACACTGAGGAGGTTGGTGAAAGCAGGAACTGCAGATCAATACGGTGATGCTCTGGAGCCAGAGACACCTGCAGAGAAACTCAAACTACAGAAGAGAAAAGACATAAAGTTGGTGATGTAATGGTGGCATATAAGTGTATGGAGAGTGAAGAAGAGGTGTGATGCTCAGTGCATCATGGGAAGTCAACCTGGACCTATAGCAGCATAACTGAGGGGTCACCTGAATCAGCCCTAACTATAAGTTTCATCAAAAAGGAAAGTTTAAAGACTAATCTCACCTCCTGAACCCAAACTGGGAGCTGATTCCACAGCAGAGGAGCCTGACTCGGCCTCCTATTCTCCTGTTTGCTTTTTGGAACCACATGTGAGGCTGCATGCAGAGAGTGATATGCTCTACTGGAATAATATGGTATAAAAAGGTCTTTAAGAGATGATGGAGCTTGGTCCTTTAGGGCTTTGTGTCTGAGAAGAAGGATTTTAAATTCTATTCTGGATTTTACAGTGAGCCAATGAAGAGAAGCTAATCTCTGGACGGCCTTAATTTCATTCTTCCAGTCAGGAAGAAGCCGTTTTTTTTTTTTCTGCAATGTCTTGATAGTACAAGGGACTACAAGACCCACTAATCTTTAGTCACTAGGGGTTACCTCAGTGTTAAAGTTGTTGTGTTTTTCACCCTGCTGTTCATAAATAAAACTAAATTTATCCTTTCATCCCTAAATGTCCACCCCTAACTCAGACATCAGAAAAGTCTTTTGTCTCTCTCTCTCTCGCTCTCTCTCTCTCTCTCTCTGTCTGTCTCCTTCTGTTTTAGTTTTATTGTTAGTCTTTCTTCTTAATACTTTTTCTTTCACTTACTTTTATGTATCCTTTGGGGGGCGCGTGGTTTGGTTCCTTCCCACCGTTGCCAACCGCTTGCTCAAAGGAAGTCCAAAGGCTACTTTGGATTGTTGGTTTCTCTGTTTAAATTTGTAAGGTCTATACCTCACTTTGTTAAGCACTGTGTGATAACTTCTTGTAAACTGTGCTATACAAATAAAATTGAATTGAATTGAATTGAATTAAATTTTATCCCCTAACATACAGGTCTGTGGCAACATGAAAAGGGCTGTTTCCTGTTTCCATATTTCCACAAACAATAGATACATAAATAAATAGGAAGCAACACTGCATTTGTTTTGTACACTAACAACACATTTAAGTTTAACATCAATCTAAATAGAAGTCAACATGAAAATAAAGGGTTGCTTTTTTTTATTTATTTTTTATTTTATTTTATTTTGTATGTTGTCATATAATTTTTTTTATTTTTTTTTTTAATTTTCTGCTACTGTGATAAAAACAATTTCTCATGTTGATCAATGACGTTCATGGACGTCTAAGTCTTACTGAGACTTTTGGAACCGTAATGCATCACCTCATTTTTACCACTAGATGGCAGACCAGCCTCAAATTCAATGAGAATTATCACAGCCCTTTTGTCTGACACTGAATAAACTTCAAAGTCCTTCATCTCAATAAAAATGGTGGCAGTGATTTGAAGAGACTCTGAAGCCTGAAGGGGATCTGTTGATTTAACTTTGCTGCCTTGATGGTGCGAAGCATTCACCACTGATATGCTCCAGTATGTAGTGTAATCACACAGCTGTGTAGGTCAAACCGTGCCCAGCCAAATCTGAAAAAAAAAAAAAAGTGAAAAATGTCTAGGCCTTTATTTCCCAACAATGCATATGCTTTGACCTCTTATGTTGTCTGTGACGTAGTGCACTCAGCTGACCCTTGGCTTTTTTTTTGTTATTGTTTTTTCTGTATACTTGTACAGTTGTTCTCAATCGCATTGACTCTCTCAGAGGCCTTCAGCTTAGCATCACTTTGTACCATTTAAATAAAATTCCACTTTAAATAAAACAAGGACATGTTGGCAGAAAGCAGTATATCCAGAATAATGGCATTTTATGACACTATCACAAGCCAACCTGTGCTTTTTCCACTACACACTAGTCTTGTGACGTGTATAAATAGGATGAAGGGGCCAAGACCTAACTCCTTTCCTAGTATGTCTGTAAAGATTCTCAGTAATTCAGGTCATGGTAATCCTATGTGCTTCAGTAAAAGGCGTCTGGGCTTCTCCCAACCGGTCTGGTAGAACTGAGAAAGAATCTTGAATGAGAGGTGAAGCATTTTCAAGAAGTAAAAAGTCCAGTTGCCTTGTACTAAAAATCTAGACTCTTCTAGTACTTCTTCTTCACCACTATTTAATTTGAAAAAGTTTTTTTTTTTTTAATGACAGTAAATTAGAAGGAATATTGCTCATGTTATGCTTATTAATGTGTGATTTGAAGATTCTGTAGGTCATGGTGGACTGTCGGTGTCCCATGGAGTCAGGCAGCAGTGATGTCCTGTGTCCTCAGGGCAACATCACATTTGGGGGCATCCTCATTCCTGTGTAATTAATACTTTAGGTTGTAATTTCTAATAATAATAATATACTCCTGATAGGTCACACATAAAATCATTTACACAGTACATACACTATATCACCCAAATTTGTAAACTATTTGTTTTACCTGCCATTCATGTGACTTTTACCACTGAAGTGGATAATGAGACCAGGGACATCTTGTGTGCCAAAAACATTGTTTTTTTTTTCTGCCATACAAAGAGTCTTATGAAGAGACTTTAAAGTGGTACTATAGTTATCTATTGTTCCACTTCTGTGAGGTCTGTGGACTCGCAAGAGTTGTAAAGGTCAAAATCAAAGCACCAGAAGCAGAGATATCGTAACTGTTAGTGTTGGTGAAAGTACAAACATAGTGAATCTTTAAATTCTCACAATGCAACTTGATAGCGTTCAAGCTCAGCCCAATATGGTTTTATATAGATTGTACGAAGCGCCTGCACATGGGAAAAGACATTACACAACTTTTTTACCAGCTGATAATGCTTCCCATTACAAGTAAGCTGATCTGGATGTGTAAAAAGTGCATAGGGTGCACTTTTGGTTACTATTACTTAAAAAATCTTTTGTATGTTTGCCGACTAGATGGTCAAGATTGATTGATTGATTGATTGATTGATTGATTGATTGATTGATTGATTGATTGATTGATTGTCCCATAGTTTGAAAACTGCACTTCAACGTTAACTTGCTGAATTGCACTGTGCCAGTGAGAGAATTACAAATATGAAAGAAATCTTGTATGTCGCTTACAGCATGAAAAAGAAATACTCTGTAGAAAGAAATCTTTAACACAATGTGTCTGTACCAACGGAGAGCTTTACGTATAACAAAAACATTAACTGTGTGCACATGTCTTGACACAATCTAATAAATTGGAGTAAATTTGACTTATACAGTCATCAACAAACATTATGCTACACTTACAATCCAACAAGTAATCCCATCTTTTCACTTCTTGA